CTCAAAATGGATCCAGCTCTCCGAAAATGTAGGACAGCAACAATTATCAGGCTGCAATTTGTACACTAACTTTATCGGGACCTTTCAAATACGTTAACCTGTACAATTTATGTTAACAAGCGTTTGTATTTTTTTATTACATTTTTATTTTTGATTGAGAGATGTTTATGTACTCTAAACAAAAATTTGAGCAATGAAATTGCATTTTGATTGTAAGCCTATCATTTAAATTTATTGAACAATTTCCATGAATTTAAGTTTCTGTTGGATATTTATATGATTTACGAACCATAACAAGGTCACTTAAATCGCATCTTCAGGGTTAGTAACAACTCAAAGAAGAAACTTGGATGACTCACACTATCCTTTTTGCGGATAATCTACTCTCCTTTCGCGGTCATACTTCACTTCACCTTCTATTTTTAGCTGTACAATAACTCTCTTTAGAGCTATTTCTTTGAAATCAACATTCGTGTCAAAGAATTTCCGTTTTGCTCGAGTTTTCCCCTGCTTTCTAGTGTCTAGAATATCATTCATTACCTTACTCAAAAGCAAGTTGCTTATTTTAATCACGTTATTTTTATCATTCGACTAATGTTATCATTTTTATGATGTTCGGCCTGGACTGATATTACAACATTAAGAAAACGTCGTTCTATTGTGACCGTACTTCGTTTTGAGACCTAATCGGAAGCGACTCGCGAAAGACCAAGCCTATTCCACTTGATTCTTCCGTGAAGAAATGATGTGCACACGACCAAGGAATATGTCGGAGAACGAATTTTGGGAATGAATAGCTGGGGATAAAACATCACTACATTTGCTGCACAAACGAAATAAGACATTTAAAATCAGTACTTCTACAGACTTACAAGTGGCAACAGCGGAGAAGAAAATTTCGACGATGCTGTGGAAACATCTCAACCTTCAACGACGGCTGAAATGAGTCAGGCTTTACAAATATTGCGACGTGGTGTTCGGCACGGGTTAGTTGGTATCCAGAATTGTGAGTGAGTTTGAGATTTAAATAAATTAAAGTTCTCAGAGAAAACCGGAAGCTGACATTAATCAATAACTTTTTCAAATTATAGAAACTGTGCGTGACATTGCAATATGATTTTAAATTGAAATATTTTTTTTATATTTTTAGTGAATATATTAATTGAATGGAGGCATGAATGAATTTTATTATGAATTATAGTTTTCCCCTTTGTATATTTCAGAATTACCTTTATTTTGCATTGGATAATATTCAACTGGAATTTTTCAACTATTCTTATCAATCGGTTAAGGTAATTAATTAGCTGCGTCCTGGAGAGA